AGGCTATTTTGTACTGATAACATCCCCCATTACCACTGCCTAAATAAACTTGATTGATTGCCAATCATGAACGCAAAATCAGTTATATACGCAATTGGTGATTACTGTGCTATGTTATCATATGATGCTCCGCCGGGCGCTCATCTCGGTTATGAACATAGTCTCGGAAGAACGTATCGCATGTATAAGAAACTAACAGATTTGATTTGCTCCGGCAGCGGCGATTCTGATTGGTCAGCGGGATGCTCCTGTGTGCTGAAAACTCTGTCCCATGAGCAGTTTCGATTTCGGTTCGTCGCGTGTCCTCCACGAGCTAAGCGACACATAAGTGAGGCGCTGATTAATTCATGAGTGCGCACATAAGCAGTGTCAACATCATCTGAGAGTTAATGAAAATTTATCGATCGGTTGATGCACAAATCAGAGACCATCCGGACATAAAAAGCTGGATTCTCAACGGACACCAATGCATTATTAAGTTCTGAATTAATTCCTTCAGTTTTTCTGCAACAAGAAGGTCCAAAGTTGGAGAAGCCAGGTCTTCATAGACTGTTTTTACATTTTAATACTGCACAACACATTGCATGGAAACATACTGTGTGTATTGGAGCATCGGTATGAACCGTACTTTGATGATGGATTTCATTACTGATCTCTTGGGTTGACTTCTTTCACAAAGAATGCGATGCGGCTCTGATTGCCATTTTGACGGTACTCCACCACAGGCTAAATGTGTCACTTAAATTCTTCATGGGATGGAGGGGGCTGCATAGTTCTTCATGAAGGCAATCCTTGAAAAGTGTGCTTCCCAAAGATTTGCTACATACGGTGGGCCTGACATTTTACATCACAACTTATCGATCTTCAAGAAATATAATTTGCAGAACGCTTAAGGAACTTTAAAAAAATTAAGTTTGTCACTGCATATAACATAAGCTTGTCCTTTAGAGTCCATCATGATGAAGTGTCAACTACTACTCACATATTACTCTTACTGTTATAATTCTCATTTAAAGCATGAACAAGAGGGTAATTCAGATATGATATGTCTGATCCCTGAAAAAGGGGCTTTAGACTGAAATGAAACGCGCCTGCGATATGACGCTCGATGGAGTCTAAAGACGGCCGTCTTTGACCAAGTATGCAGCAATTGAAACGGACTAAAATAATGCATATATCAATAGGATGTCAACTGAAGTACAGATTATGTGAAACGATGACTTGTCCATTTACAATTTTATCGATGAATTCAAGGGAGTCTCAGAAGCAATACGACAAATTCTGTTAAAGAAAAATTCTTCACTCTGTCAGGGGACTGGCGACATGGCGTCTCTGCTCTGTATATTCTGGACAATCCAAACGTACGATTTTTTTCCGCTACATCTTCTTCAGGTTATTCATTTAAAATAATCTGAATTTTCCCCTTATCCATGAATCGTTATTCTTCATTCAGAGCGCATATTGCGTGGTGAAAAAAATTTTGACGTTCTTTAGAGATTAATGCAGTTTGTGGTCTCTAATCCTTTCCTCCGGGCTTATAATTGGACCGGTCTTGTAGAACGGGATCGGTGCTGACGAGGTAATAAGCCATAAAACTCGTGGATTCATAATCTTGCTAACGAGCTGTTTCATGATTCATTACGATCTTTCAAGGTTACTGTATTTGTGAGGTCATGCGCATTCCTCAATGCTTTGCTCTGACATGTTATCGAGTACTTTTTTCATTGTTCGCTGCTCGCTACAACATTTTAAATGAACAATTTGTCGCAGTATGATAAATTCATATTTAATATAATTGCACAAATATGTTTGGACATTTGCGGCATCATATATAGTATCAGCTGCTGAAATACTGTTCGTGATAAGCGCAAGTGACTGGCGGACAGAATTGCACGATGTGCTTCTGGGGCTGCAGGTCTTTACGTATTATCGCTGATCGAATCCCAGCAAGAGAACAGTTGGGTTAATACAAAGTGAAATTTGTTAAAGGAGTTATGCACTAACTGACATACTTCAGCGTACAAACATGTTTTGATATTGATGTAGCAATTATTGTTTCGCATTTATAAATAAATAAACACGATTTGCATGATCGAGGCATTTATTGCCCCGGTTGTCATATTCATTGTTTCTGACTCAGGGAATGGAAGCAGAGTCCTAATTCGCCTCGTCCAACCTGGCCATGCACTTCGAAGTGGCAGTGGTATTTGAGCACCTCATTAATCTGAGTGGCGTTTTCCGCGGAAGCGGTAGAAGTAATGTTTTCTTGTGTTTTGGAATGCGTATTACCAGCATAAAAAAATATTGCTTGAAACTCAGACGACTGCCTCACTCGTCCAACGAGCTGAAATATACTTCGCAGTGACAATT